TGCTGCGTTTCAACCTGGATTTGTAAAAAGTGAGAGAACTGTGAGGCGTTGGCACGTTTTCAAGACTTGTTGGGACTTTTCTGCACAGCTGCTGCAGCGCGGCCTTCGACACCCTGCTAACTAATAGGCGGTCTGCGTTGCAAATGCGACAAAAGAGATTATCTGAACTGAACCGCTCTGCAGAGCTTTTCAGTCTGGCCTGCGTGTCCCACATGTAGCGCTGTAGCGGCGGGTCAGGGGCCACGTGCTGCCAGGTCTCGTTGCTGTGGCGTGCCAAGCAGCAGCGCTGCAGACGTCAGCGGAGATCAGGATGTTTGCCAAGCTTTCCCTCTTACCCAGGTCAAAGTCTGTGTGGGCTGATGATGGGCAAAACGAAGAGTCCAGAGTCGGTCCTGCTGCCAGCGGATTCAGCTCCCGTTTCACTTGTTCATCTTTGATCCAGCAGATTATTTTTAAGACTCTTAAAAGGCGATTCTTAGAAAACTGGCAAAACGTGAAGCGCTGATAGAGGTGGGCCGTCTGGCTTTCAGTGACTCTACTGGAGCTGAATTTAGTTTCTGCCAGTCTGCTTTTTGTTCTGCTAGCGCTGGATGATACGGCTGAAAAACGTTTCATGTCAATCCATCGATAATTGTTGATTAGTCTGTTATAAATATTCCCAAACTAGTGGCATGACCTTTCCAGTTTTCACTATATGCCGTTTTTAAAAGATTTTTAAAAATTATTATTGTTTTTAAGCATTCTTGAAACTGTTGGGCTGCTGCTGTGCATGTTACTTAACAGGTTGTTGCTAGGTAACTAGAGAGTGAGTACGTTGATGTCACTGAGACGTTCAGTGGTTCAAGTCTGCCTACATCCCCCAGAATGCTCTGCAGTTCAGCGAATATTCTATATATGGCATCACCTTCCTAATATAATGGTCCAAGTCCTTTATTGAAAATATCATTTTTATTTATTTTTTTTAACCAACATCACTTGGGGAGAGGAGGGCAGGGGTCTGTCTGGGTATTTCAGTTTTCTTACTGAAGATTTAATCAGCAGCTTACAGAATACAACAACAGTAGATTTAACCTCTAGTTGAGTAACAGCAGCAGGTCAAAGAAGACAAACGTCAAAGCTGAAATACGTCAACATGGAGATCTGCTGAATTAAAGTCAGACTTGGCATATTAAACCGTGACGTTTATATCAACCATTTTTTCTTCCATGAGGAAACTGTGCACTGCTCTCTGAAAGTCACAGGTTTGCAGTTACAGTTTCTGCTTCCTGATGATTTTATCTGCATGCAGTTGAACATGAGGATCGCGTTAATGTGGTTTGTTCTTTCTGGCTTCATGAAAACTGACTTGGCCTTAGAGAGTATTTGTAAAATGAGAATAATGAGGGTTTTTTTTTTTTTTTATATCCATCCATTGCTGCCAACACTGAATATCCCACCATCCCCTTCTGAGCCTTTTTTTTCTTCCGCCCACTTCATAGATAATACAGCACAAGGCAGGTTGTTCCTGGGAGCTACGTTTCACTGTGTCCTGATGCAGTCCACACACCTTTTATATTAAATCATATTCATAACTGTGGGCCGAGTTTGCAGCAGAGTGGGGGCATCTTCCAAGAAGCAAACATGAGACTTGGAGTCTCTCTACCACTCAAAGCACTTAATGTTGTACTAGACCACGCTGTTCTTTCTGAGATCCTTGAACACACTTTACTTTTAAAGAGATTGTTTTCATAACTGAGGTGAATCTGTATAATTGAATATGATGCAACTGGATTTTTTTTTTCCGGGATAGAAGACAAGTTATGTTGCAGGTGTAAATAAACTAAAACTAGTTTGAAGAGCTCTTTATGAAACTCAGTTTCTGAATCTGTGTGTTTACAGCCCAGAATCTGCTGACAGCTCCTCCTTTGACGTGCAGCTGGGTGACATAATCCTCACCGCCACCGATGGGCTGTTCGACAACATGCCCGATTATATGATCCTCCAAGAGCTAAAAAAACTGAAGGTAAGTGACGAACATTACTGCTGCTGCTGAGTCTGAATCCAGAAGAAACTTGATGCTCACTTCTTTTTTTCCCCTTTCTTTCTTTTTGTTTGTTTTTTTGCTTTCTCAGAACTCAAACTATGAGAGCATTCAGCAGACCGCCCGCAGCATCGCAGAGCAAGCCCATGTACTGGCATATGACCCCAACTACATGTCACCTTTTGCACAGTTTGCATGCGACAATGGACTGAATGTCAGAGGTAGGTTTCTTTGTACCTAGTTTGAAGCTTCAGTTCATGCAGCATTGCAACCAACTACACAATTCCAGCGGGTGTAATGTTACAGTAAGACTGCTTGGAGACTGTATTGGTTGGGTTATTGTATTTCATGAGTCAGGAAATAAAACTCATGTCAACCAATCAGATTGCTTCAGTATAACCTCATTTTTCTGTAAGGAATAAAAAAGAATGAGAAGAACTTGGTGTATTGCCTACAGACTAGATGAAGAAGAAAAATGGTAGCGGTACAGGAGTCAGTTATTTCACCAGGAGTAGGATGGGACAGGAATTTTCGTTTTTACTTTAGCCCGAGATTTAAATGGAACAAGTTTTTTTTTCTTCTTTCTTTTCTGTAGGAGTGGGATTGGACAAGAATCTCTCTTCCAGAAATGCATCTAAAAGTTAAATAATACAGGCCCCTCAGGCCTGGAGTTTGAAGCCCCCTGATCTAGATTACTACATAACTGAGATGTCCAATCACTGTTGGCGTTTCCAAAAAGCTTCATAGCAAAAGCTCAAAAGCACCTTTTGAGCTTTTCTTTAAAAGCTCGCATCCTACAGCCTCCCTGTTATCTGCTAAACTCCCCCAGTCTAAATGAACTACAGTTGTTTCACTACGTCATAGAAAACAGTTACTTACATCTCGCCAAAGCTAAAAATAAAATGTTTCGCATGCACACTGAAGAGTGTCGTTGATGCTGCTTAGTATAGTACTTTTACTTTCACCTGTCAGGGCCAGACAGACTGAAATTGTCCGATTTCGGTGCTCTGCCGATTTCTGCGACTGGAAAAGTCGTGTCTTTTCCAGAGAAATGACACACAATTGTGATGGCGTAGACACTTTTTTCTACCACCATCCTAACTGTTTTTTTTTGTTTGTTTATTTGTGAAGGAGGAAAGCCAGACGACATCACAGTACTGTTGTCCATCGTGGCAGAATACACGGACTAGAACCTGCTTGCCGGGACGTCGCTAATCTGCCTCTGGAAGTGATGAACTGCTTCAATTCCTGCTGGTCAGGATGTAGGTTTGACATCTGATGCTTCCTCCTCATCTACAGGATCCACTCTGCTGAAGAACCGCCCCAACGCCCTTTTTGTTCTCCCATAAAAAGTACCGCCAGAGAGAGGTCAAATTATGCAAACGAGAGGCCTAAACCACACTTCTGTCTCAGTTGGACTTTTGGCATCTTTGCAGTTTTCCATTGCTCACTTGCTAATGCCATTGCCAAGGATCAGTAGTCATTGGTTGGAGATGAAGCATCCAGTTTGAGGTCAAGTCCCTCTCTTTCCTGATGGAGGCTGCGCAGGAGAAAGTCGAGGCTTGGATGTAGCCAACTGCCAGCCGAGTCTCCATCAGGGAATAAAAAGTTCTTAGGCGTACAGAAGGGAATGGCAGCTTCAGGGCTCTATAACCAAGCTGCAGTTTGTAGATGTTTCAAGACCTTCATGGAAAGTTTTGGAGTGTTTTCTAGGAGCATGGAGCAAAAGTTAAACAAGACAGTGTGTTCAAAGTCTAAAGAAGGAAAAAAAAGACCCAGCTAATTTGACTATGACGCACCTGTCGGCAGGCTTATCTTTAAAGATTTCACAACGACAAGCGGCAGCTGCCTTTTTCTTACTGGTGCGATTGGAGTCCAGCGCATGTTTTGGGACGGAGTATTTATAGTCAGAAAGCCTCTTCAGACGTATGGGACGCACGTTATTTGTCAAACCGATGTCCTCCCTTTAATCTTACAGCTGCTGGTGAAGTCTTGACAGTGATTTTGTGTGAAGTGTGTATGGATGCGAGTGTGACGGATGACTGGTGTTGTTGAGTTGGATGTCAAGGCGCCGGACTAACTCCACCTCCACTGGACTTAAATGGGTCTGGCAGCCTTAAACGCACACAGCTAAAGAAGAAAAGAAAAAAAAAGCTAAAGTTGGTCGGGTGACCAAAACGTATTTTTCTAACTTTGTTCGGTGTGATTGTTCGCTGCTTCAGGGTAGCTTACGCTGTCGTTCAGTTTCCCCCTCCTCCCTTCTGCTGTAGGGTTTAATAGTGGTGGTCGTCGTGTTTCCATTGCACCACAAAGATTTGCACTAGGTGTGTTTCTGCGACTTTCTACCTACACTTAGTAAGATGTCACTGTAAGGTTGAGATGTTATGACGTGCCTTGTATCAGGAGATGTTGATACTGGCAGACATGTCCTCTATTAGTCACCCAACTGAGCACAGAGCCCTAAAACTGTAAAGTAGCCATAGAGATGAAACAGCTCTGCTGTCTAAAGATAGTTTTTTTTTTGTTGTTGTTTTCTTCAAATCTACCACTGTGTTTAGGTCAGGATGTTGGGACTAGTGGTGATCCCTGCTTCAGAAATCCATCCTTGTGAGTTTCATTGTCATTGTTTACAATCTGCACTAATAAAACAAATTTTTTATTTTTTATTTCCCCTCCCCGTACACTGGGGCTGACGATAAGGGCTGCAGAATGGGGTGTATTAAGATGACAGAGGCGGATCCAGTTGTGAAAGTATAAACGTCGGACAATCTCAGCAGCATCGGCTCGAGCTGTCCAGTTCTCCCAGTCATCTGACTCGTGACTCACAGCTGCACCAACACTTTTCCGCTTAGTCTCATCTTTCAAACACATTTGGTCGACCGGAGCGTGAATACGGTGTACAGCTAAATGCAGATCTGAATTCTGTGGGGAAAATTTGAAATCTGTAAAATATTTAAATAAAGATGATATTTATTTACAACGTTTTGGCTGCATTCTGTTTACAAAAGTTGTTTACTGGTATTTTTTTTTAGTAAACCTGCTGGCTGATGCTGTGGATCGACGGGATAACATCAAATCCAGGAAACATTTTGTACGACACGCATCCTCCAACATTCCACAGGTGTCTGGTTTCCTAACACAGGCGGGCGTGGCAGCGTTACGTTAACATGTTTTCACAGACAAAACTAAGAGCAGCTGCCAGGTAACATCATCAGGCACCAGAAAAGAAGCCCAGTAGAAACTGTTAATACAATGTTAAATATCTTAAGCCGCAGATTAATACTCAGTTTAGAGTTCTGTGAAAACATTGCCTGGTTTCCAACAGAAATCACAAGTTCAGAAGAATGACTGGTGTAATCTCACAGTGAAGGGCTTCTCGGGTGGTTGTCAGTGTTTTCCTCATCGCTGTAACATGCCAGGACAGGCAGCTGGGCAGCACTACCATCTTCGTCTTGCCGAGAGGACAAAGCGTCGAACAGCAGGGAACAGACCTGATGAGAAATGAAACAGTTAGTTGGTGACATGTTGGAGAATGTCCTCAAAATGCTTCCAAAACTAATTCTGCCACTTGCATTACAAAAACACTAAAAAAATTGGAAAAAAAAAAAAAGATCCACCACATTTTACCACATTTTGCCAATCAGTGTAGCAGTTTGATTTTATCGTAGATGTTTAAATGTATTGACAGCCATGGTTTACATATAGGAGCTGCAGAGAACAAGTTCAGAAGACGAGGCATGTAAAAATGGCTCCTGACCACAACTTTACATAAGAGCAAGAGGGGGAAGTCGGTGGTTTGGGCCTCGCATGCCTCTGAATGAAACTGATTTGCATCTGTCAGAGCTCTGATGAGTTAGTTTGGAAACATGAAGAAGCCTCTCTGACTTCCTTCTCTGATCTTTCAAACAAATTAGCTGCAAATGTAGCTTTTCTTAACCTTCAGGTTGAGCTCTGCACATTCAAAGTTGTTGATCAGCCATTGTTTAATGACTAAGTTTACTTAAGTGGTAACAATTATAGAATTCTGAAAGAAAAAAAAACATTTTAAAATAGGTGTGTGGATTAATACAGAAATTGTGACAGAGCATGTTAAACAAAAATAGCTTTTATGTGTCACTCCACAAATAGAACCTTATGACAGAAACGAATCACGACAGTTTTATCTGTATACGGCCAAATTACATGAAGATGAAAATGTTATTCAATTCCAAATAAGTTGTCTTTGAATGCAGGGACATATATGTACTTATATTTTAACAGTTTAATCAATAGTTTTTTTAATCATCACATTATGCCACAGCCCGGCCCTTTAAAGAGACAGTTTCATGTAAAAGTCTTTTTTGAGCTTTACATCATGTATTACAGTTATTCCCTCATCAAAACAATACTTGGAGTGTTGCTTTGATTCTTTCATGCATATTTAAGAAATCCTTTCATCTCCAAAGTAACTGTTCAGCTGTTGAAAACGCCTTGGTGGAGCTAAGGAGACTCAAAGCCGCAGCGATTAGCAAAAACCTGGTGGGACTGAGCCTCTGCTGAGATGATTACAGGAGCTACTGCTCAGTGAAACACAGAGCAGGAGTTTCTTAAAGAGACAGAGGCCCAATTTCAAGGTGTTAAATCAGGAACGCCTCTTTTAAGTCATATTTGACAAAAACCTTCAGTTTTTAGAACTAAAGGCAACATAATTACTTGACGATGCTATAAAATGGCACAATGTGGCTGAACAACACATAGAACCGCCCCTTTAGAGACTTTCTTGATCTTGATGTGACCCATGACAAAAAAAAATAAAAAATTTGACTTCTCCATGACAGAGGAGTAGAGCAAGGTATCAGAGGAAATGTAGGAGAGAAAATTGAACAGAGGTGAGGAATTACAGCCATAGGTCAAAGGTCTCCATTGTGGTCCAAGTAAAAAGAAAAATATCACACTGAAATCAAACAGGAAGAGCTCGTCACCTTCGTGGACGCAGGGCTTGAGGCGGAGCTGTTACATTCCTGGCTGTCTGCACTGAGGCAGGTCGGCTCCCTGATCTCAGGGAGGCTCTTTGCACCGGGACAGCTGATTACAGGGCTGCCCTTGCTGGATGGAATCAGGTCATCAGGAACAGAGTAACTCCTGCTACCTGGTCCCTGAGACACAGCCACAGGTTGAGCTGGGGAGCTCACACACCTGAAAACACCAACAGGACACATTTAACTCTTACTAAACAGTCTGTCCACGCCGCGTCACTGCTAAATAACTGCTTTTACAAAGGTGAAGTCCAACTCATGAGCATGTGGATCATCACTGAGCCTGGTGAGTACAGGCGCTTGTTAAACTGGAAAAGTGTGACAAGGTATGTGGAAAACAAGGAAGATGTCAAGGAAGTTAATGACGGAGTGGAGCCGACAAGAAACCACTGACCTCTGACTGTGTGGAAGTACAGCAGTTTAAATAGTGTAAGAAATAAAACAACCCTTCACATAGGGAAACTTGTAACTGAATGATCTGACAACAATACTGATTTAGCCACATTTACCCGAATTTTCTAGAAATACTGAAGACATTTTGAGATTCATAGTTTAGAAAATTGAAAAATTGCTTAAAAAAAACCAATAAATTTTGAGATTAATCTTAGAAATATTCTAGAAAAAAAATGACCATCTGGAAATATCAAAGTCAAAGAAAGTGATAGCAAATTTTCTCCTGATGAAACTCAGAAGTATATATATTTTTTAATTGACCTCAAAACTTCAAAAGTTTTTTGGCAGAAATTTACTCTTACTTTTTTTTTTTCCCCATCTTCAATAGCCCTAATTCGCAATCGTAGAAGACCTGAATTAGATGTGTAACACAACCAGCTGGAGTTAGAAAAGACTGAGTCGGCTCCCGGCAGAGCGGGCCAGCGTAGAGGAGCTGAGCGGATTACAGAGCATCTCACTGGCAGGCTTCTGACCTACGCTTGCCCTAGTTTCTCACTCACAGACACTAGACCGGCTGCAGTAACGCCACACCCTATTAGGGGGCTAAAAGCAGCCAATGAGGGCAACGAGACTTGGTGGAACGCCAAGAGTGAAGGTCAGATAAAGTCAAAGAGTGAAGACTGATTTACAGAATCTGGCAAAAGTGTTCAAACCCCTTCAAAGTCACATTTTATCACTTTGCAATCACAAACTTGAACATGATTTTATTGTTACATCAATACAGGGTTGTAGTAATGATGAAGTAGACAGAAAAAAAAGTTTTTAAAATATTCTGGGACGTGTGGCATCCATTTGCATTCAGTCCCCTTTTGCTCTTATACCCTGAAAAATAAAGTTCAAGGAGTGTGGTTAGGTTTGAAAACCACCAAGCGGCGTAGATGTGATGAGGACAGAATCTGGTCAGAATAATGTCAAAAACACAAATTTGACGGACACTGGGTTGTCCAGTCAGTGGTTTTACGGACACTATTAAAACCTGGAGCTTGGTACCTGGGTATTTTCGGGGTCAGGGGTTCGGTTGGTTGAGAATGGTCCCTGCTGTCAGAGTCAGTCACAGTTGCCAGCAGCACAGTGGCCTCAAGGACCATGTCCTCCACAGAGAAGCACACAGGCCTGCAGACAGGGACAACTTTACAACAGCCAATCAAATAGTGAGAAAACCGCTGAAACGCCCAGACCCAGCAGTCAGAGATAAAGAGGTTTTTGAAATGACCTAGTAATGCCTCCTAGCAGGTGGTGTATCTTCAGATATGGTTGCAAATGAATCTAAACAGCATGATGAGACTTACTGTCCTGCTGCATCGAGGTAAACCGACACTGGAAGACTGCGAGACTCTGCAAAGGACAATATGCCTTGAAAATCAGAACAATCGACTCAGACACGCTCCTCTGTGTGCATGCCATGACTGTAGAGATAGCACGACATACAGTGACTGGGACAAAGAAGACGCATCAATTCTTGAAATTGCGATTAACTCAGACTCAAAGCCTAGTTTTCCAAATTCCAGAAGATGTCGAGGCTGGATCACGAGGAGAGACTCCCAGCGAGGGGTTCAACAAACATTCCAAGACATTAGGGGACAAGAGTGGTGAAGGGTAATGCAGGTCAGGCCTCGCTAACTGGACCAGAACAAAGAATGTCCCTTCAAATTCTCAAATGAAACATGAACAGTTACTCATTCATAAAAAAAAATAAATAAAAAAAAACAACAACTAATCCATGATTCTAGATTTTCCAGTTCAGGAAATGACGACAGGCATCTCCTAGATTCTGTGTTTTATAGTTGACTCAAATTACTGAGACAACAGGTTGAGTTTAGTCGGTTTGGACTGAAGAACTGAATTGTGCTTTTGTCATATTTCAGTGAGGTGGTGTGTCACTATGGCATCTCTTTTTAAGCTAAAACTACAGTAATGGAACATTTTGCGACTTGATCACCATCCATGTCCTGAAGCAAGAAATGCTGCCACCTGCAGGTGCTAGTTGGTATCTCTTAAGCCGACTGTTTTTGATCATTTTTGAGAAAAATTTACAATAAATTAACAGTTATGCCTTAGCGCAAAGGACACAAGAAATATCACCTCTGACACAGAAAATCCCCTGATGAGCCAGACACACACATGCAGCACATAAACACACCGATCCAAGCTACACACGATGCACTCAGGTGACAAAATAAAACCGTACTGAAATAGCTCAGTTACCCTCAGCTCCTTCAGACAGAAGGTTATGTCAGAGTCCAGCCCGATCTGGAAGAAGTCAAACTCGTTTGGGTGTAAGGACATCTCTGTGTACGTCGTCTTCATTGGACCTGTCACACAAATACATCCAAGTCCTTCAGTTACATATTAAAGAAACTGAAGGGGGCGCGCCCTCAGGACAGCTTGCCCATGTAACTTTGTCTCTCGATGTCTCTGGACGCTTATAAAAAAACTATTTAAAACTTCAAAGAGTAAAACTAAAAGGAACAGCATTTTTTTAGTCACATTGTAAAGTTATTTCCTCATCATAGACATTCCTGGAGTGAGTTTTTCATGCATGTTAGAGAAATCCTATAATCTCCCACAGCAACCATTCAGTTGTGCAAAACAATCCAGCTCCGCCTTCAAACTGCAGTTTCCAAGCTTTCCAGGCGTCTGCCTCACAGAGCAGCCCTCCCCCACTCAGCTCCTTCGGACTAGCCAGCGTTCATTAGCAAACACCTGGTGGAACTGCTCGTTTGCTGAGCTCATCATAAGAGCTACTTCTGAGGGAAACGTTGGTAAAAACGTTGTTAAATAGCTAATAGAAGAGCCATCCTAAAGCCAGAGACAGAGACCCAATTTGAAGATGTTAAATTACAAAGTCAAATTTCTTTTAAGTCATATTTGACATGTAGCATTTTCATAACAACTGAAGATAACTACTTGATTGTACTATAAAAATTACACCATGTAGCTAGCAAACACATTGTACTGCCTCTTTAAACTACTCTTTCATTTCAGTAGCATAATCCTATACTGAACATTTTTGATCAAAATAATCCCTGACAACTATTGTTACCACTTGCTGCCAATTGTTACTTCATTTAACCCACAACTTCATCCTTCGTTTCACATCAAACCCACTTGGAGTGTTTGATACAGAAACACTCAGTCATATTTTCTTTTGACCAAAGCGCATGATTCCTGCAACGAGAATGCCAAATGTTTATGTTTGTCATGGTAGGACTGAAAAGCCCTCTTCCTGGCCAGCCTCCCAAAACAACCAGTTGGCATGTAAATAGAGTCTGATGGTCGTCATGGAGACGTGGTAACTCAAGATGCCAGGCTTGCTCTTGTTCTCGTAACAGTGAACTTATGTGAACTCAGGTAATTTCACATCCTTTACTGTCCTGCTCACTCTGGCTGGTGGCCAGAAAGACATGGATCTTCAATTAGGCTAATAGAAATTAGCTGCTTTTTTTTCGAGACATATTTCTTCGACAAGGAAATGGTAAATTATAAATTAGTAAGTAGACGTTCAGAAAAACTTTGAATAACTTAAAAATCAATCAAATAATAATAATTTAAAAATTGCAAGATGAATTTATTACGGCGGGGAGCAATTGTTCATGTCTGAATATATATATATGAAATCATCATGCCAAAACTGTCGCAACTTTCATCACATTCTGTCATTTTTGAAATTTAAAGTAGACGACATGACAAAGTCAGCACACCTTTTCCGCCATGCTGGTCATTTCTGAGAGTGACTTTCATCGGAGTGATGGACAGAGTGATTTCTTCCTGAAACAGGGGAAAGTGCACCACCATGTCTGCAAGAAGCCTGCAGGAGCAAAGAACAAAGCAGATGCAAAAATCACACAGCTTCTGTTCAATTGACTCTGTGCCGATTTCCAAATTGTGTGTACTTTAAGCAGTTTCAAGTGTATTTTAGGACATATTCAGATTACCAAAAGGTGGTAATAGAAAAAATTTGTTCTATTAGACTGATCAATAAAAGGGTCTAATGAAAAAAAAAATAGAAACTTCATGAAAATGAGAGGATTAAAACTAATTTTAGTGTTTTTGAATTAGTTTAGTCACAGATGTGTTAATGTCAAATCTTCTGTGCTGATTTCAAATTAAAACGTTGCATAAACTGTGTAATAGAGAGCTAGGTATAAACTTGGCCTGCAGCCATGCACTGATGAAAGGATCCAAAGGGATAAACTGATAAATTATCCAATGCTAACCTGGCGGGAGCCTTCAGGACATTGGGACAGAGATGTGAGTCAAACACAGCCTGCAGAGCCTCACTTTCCTGGAAATGTATGTTGTGGGTTTTGACAATACCTAGAACAGCAGACACGAGGTGAAAGGAGCACACTGCCACCAGGTGTCCACAACATGCAACACGTCATGTGCAGCAAAAGGAAGAGGTTCAGCACACCTTTTGAATTCTGTTAATAGTTATTAAACAAATGCAGATAGGTTTTCTTTTATTTGTGCAGAATTATCGTCCCAAGCGCAGTGTTTCCTACCATGTCTGCAGAAAAACTGGATTATCACTCGGTCGGTGGCAGTGCTGACTGAAATGTGGCATCGTTCCACACTGCGTTCAATGGAGGTCAGACACCGAAACAGTGGCAGCACCGACTTACAAACAAACAAGAGGAGCTCACATTTTCATCTTCTTGATTATAGAACTACAAAATTGTTATGACACATGCAGAATAAACTTGTCTGGCATTCATCCCGTAAAAATAAATGCCACAAAGACCCCATTTAAAGTGCGAGGGATGCTAAAGAAACAATGACATTTTGGATTCACACACTTTTATGGGTTAAAAGTTAGATACATTTTTTTTTTAAATTACAAAGGAATAGGTGTCAAATAATACAGTCTTTGTTTGACTTGTCTAAGAACAACAGCTGCTTTTAAAGTCGTGGAAATGGCAATGAAACATTAAAATAGCTCTTTCACAAATCACAAACTACTATTAAGCAGGCTGGATTTACCTTCATGACCAGTTTGCATTTGATTGCTTCACTGCCCTGCTTTGATGCTGATTCCAAGCTGTACTGCTGGAAGAACATGGGTGAGAACAGGAAGCAGCCATAGGCCGAATGAGCAGAATTGACTGACCTCAGGGCCAGCTGTGGAGACAGAGACAAGGACAAGATGATGAGGACAACATGCGAAACTCATCTAAAATAACCTGACAGGAAAACTGGTCAGAAATGGTCTAATGTCCAATACCACGCGTTTTAGGAATACATCAAGTAAAGCCTGAACAGTTTGAGACTAGTATTAGCATTTCTCAACCCTATGACCATGGGGTCCAGCCAAAGCTCATTTCCAATCCGTGACAGCGCATGAATGGCCTTACCGAGGACTGTGAAACAAACAGTTTATAGTTAGCACTGTACTGCCACACATTCTTAAAATAAAAAAAAAATAACTAGAAAATTCCTGAAGAAATTTAACTGGGTCCTGCCAATGTGTGACCGTCGGTTTGGACCCAGCGTTCTAAAAATTAGCAGCAATGCTAAGCTTAGCGACAAAAAAAAATATGAGTAACATAGACTTGAACCATGTTAGTAGTTTTATGCTAATTTTACAAATATGTTAATTTTAACGTGAATACTGTCAGCACCATGTGGATCACCACTAGCTTGCTGTGTGTAATTGACTTACTCCATTCAATATACTAGACATGGCTAACAAGTAAGAGACATAGATAATACCTTATTTAAGATCAAACCTGAGATAATGATACTTTTTATCATCTCACAACTAGAAATTCTGTGTATCTTATTGGTCAAAAGCAGCAAACAAACACATAACTCGTGTTCAAAAGAATCACTACTACTAATAATCTCCCGGCCAAAAACGGGAGACTTGAAAAGGCGTTTTATGCCCTATGACGTCATTGACATGACATCACTGAATGACAAAGGCTTTGATAAGTTTTGAGTCACTGTCTCCTTCAGTGACTCCTCACAAGCAAACAGAAGTTCGAAGAGTTCTTACTCCGGACTTGTGTCGTGCAGACTTGCAGCGAGAAGATGAACGTAAAACGAATATTTTTTAATTGTTCCGATGTCCCTGACCCGATAGAGAAGGTACTGGAAGGGGAAAAGCTGAAGCTGTTCGCAGCAAACCTGGAGCTTAGGCTGCTGATCGACTGTGGGGCTTTGAAGGCTTTGGAGCAGCTCGGCGAAGAGGAAACTGCCCTCATCCACAAGATGGTCGACAGGATGGCAGAAGGTCTCACGATACCCAAGAAATTTGCGAAAACGTCCAAGAAGCGGAGAAGCATGTGCAGCAAAGTTCTTGTCGAGCTGAAGAAGACGCACAGCAGCTCACAGCTAAAGAACCTCTTGAAAACGAAGGACGAACACGTCATCGCCAAGATGATCGAGCTGCTGCAGGAACAAATGAAGAAGGCCTTTAAAGGCTTTGAGAACAGTCTGCGCAAAAAGCTGTGTACGGCAGAAGTTGCGGGACATGTCACGTCGTTTCTTGCCATGGTTGTTACAACCTTGATCATAATGTAGCAGTTTGGTTTGAGAGCTGAACTGTTACGGCATTAGTTCAAACCAACTCATAACTCAGTGGTTCAGCGGTTGGGAACAGATTTGCTGAAGAGGCACTAAAACTGATGGCTGCTGATTAACTGCAAGTTCGTCTTTAACTGCTCCGACATGACAGAGGAAAGCGCACTCAGAACTGGACAATCAGTTGAAAACAAAGGATGGATGTCTCAGAGCCAACATGTACAGGGGAAAATATGACTGTGTTTTTCTGTTACTTCTACTTCTTGTCGTGATTTGCATGTTTAGATTGTTTTGGGTTTGTTGTTTTTTCTCTTTTTTCCCCCTTTAACAGCTGAAAAGCACTGGACTGTCAACCAGAAACGGCGTTGTAAGGAAATCCAACCTGTGGCTTCGAACTGATGACTTTTATTGAAGGGCAATTATTGAACCCCGAATTTTATGGAGACAAGAGGACGGTTTTAAAGTGACTCCCTTGTAATAAACTACATTGACTGCTTCTCTGTTTGGGTTTTGGAATTGTTTGCTCCCCTTTGGACCCAAGACAGAATGTGGGGTCATATTAGCCACAGTTTGAGTTCTCAAACTAAACTGTTACAGCATTGGTTCAACTACCTGATAACTCAGTAGTTCAACTGTTGGGGACAGATTTGTTGAAAAGGTGTTAAAACTGGTGGGTGCTGATTTACTGTAAGTCTGTCTTTAACTGTTCCAATGTTGCTGAGTCTCGATGTTAAAGTAGAACTCAAACAACTTGAGAAACTGATTGATTTCTGAAATCAATCAGTCCTGACGGACGTGATCTGCAGCTCTCCCTGCAGCGGTTCGCAGCCAAGTGTGAAGCGGCCGGGGTGAGGATCAGTGCCTTCAAGTCTGAGGCCTTAGTCGTGAGCCGGAAAAGGGAAGAGTGCCTTCTCCAGGTCCAGGGGCGTTCCCTGCCCCAAGTGGAGGAGTTCAAGTGTCTCGGGATCTTGTTCACAAATGAGGAGAGAAGGGAGCAGGAGATCAACAGGCGGATTGGCGCAGCATCTGCTGTGACGCGTTTTCATTTGATGCATCAAATGAATCTCTCTTGAATGTAGCACACAGACTGTTTTTACAAACCTCTTCCTGTTATAAGACTTATAAGTTTCAAGTTCTGAATCTTCTACAGGAGCATTGTTAAAATTATTTGAAGGCACAGAATCAGCCGAGTACTGGTTCACATTCTCAGACTCGCCTGGTAAGCAAATTTTTTGGTACTGAAATTTATGAATTTAATCAAAGTATGTCATGAATATGTGTGCATGTACTCCATCTTAAGTCCAGAGCACACTAGATTTTTTGTTGCTTTTGCCACCACTATATGATATGCATGTAAGATATAACAAACAGCACTATTCAGAGATGCAATGAGTTAGTTTATAGCAGTTATTCCACCATGTTTGTAGTTCTGCCATCACTGTATTCTAAAGAGCAGCTCAGAGGGAGACAAAATTCTGTCTATTTTGAGTGAAACTGACACTGTTTTGTCAGTTAGTCTTTTGTTTTGACTTGAATTTGGCTCATTTTTTTGTTAATTACGTTTCAAAGACGTGATTAAGATACAACTTTAGCAAAGTTAAGCTCAACTTCGCCAGGCTAACACTCAAATAAAATGTATGCAAATTTCTGTTCAAGTAAGTTATTTAAAAAAATAAATAAATAAAAAATAAGAAGAAACAATTTCACATATATTTTTGGGCGTTCTTACGACCTTTCACGGAGTTCCGCTCAATGACGCAGTTCATATTTACCGACAGATAAGCTAACAGGCTAACCGGTTCTAGAAGCGTGAAGACGTACAGAGCTCCCGAGGCACGTGCGCCACTCCGGAGACAGACTACCTAAAAATGGAAAACAACCTAAAAATGCACTTAATGTAGACACAAACCAAACAATGACAGTGATTGCAGGAGTCGCTCATATTTAGGTCATCATGAACGCTACACCCAGTTTAAATTTAAATCGAATAACATGGAAAGAGAGCAGGGAAATCTGTGGCATAAATGTGTGGGTTTTAATAACAAATCAATAGCAACACCCACTGCTGTGCGTGTGTTAAATTCTAGTTCACGATTTTTGGAACAGAAAAATGGAGACAGCTCTGAATCAACAATACAGATGATAAAGCAAAGGAAGTTCCGGAAATGTAGCTCCATTTCTCAAAATGGCAGGATTGTCATGATATCCCTTCCTAGAGGTCATAGATCTAGGAAGATCTGTTTCCGTGCTTCTAGAACTTTCTCACGTCACAACACACTTTACTGTATTTTATTGTGATTTTGCATTCTACAATTTTGAAGTGAAAGAAAAAGATGCTTTTCAAAGCTTCTGAGTAAAACCCTGAAAAGTAGTCCATGTACATGTAAACCTCTAAAATACTGGAATGAAATATATTCACAAATATAATTTATGAATACATTTCCATAAATTGCATTATGGAGATATATTCATACATATAATAGTATGAATATACTATACAAATATAGTATATAGCATATTCTATATTTGTATTATTCTTATATACAAATATATGAATAATGAATCATTTCAATATACAATTTAAATAAAATCAGATAAAAGTAATTTAAGTGATTTGAACTTTAATAAAAATCTAACTCTCTCAGTAGACCTGTTAAACTCATCCATTTTTATCTAAACAGTGGTCAACATGTGGGGATACAGCAGACTAGTTCTTTGTGACTTAAGCGTTGCATTTCAAGTCAGTCTACAAATACATATTTGACTCACCCTCTGCACATCTGTTAGATTCAGCAACAGACATGCAAATGAACCTAATCAGAAATCGGTTTCAAATACTAGAGGACTTGCATTAACTCGGGGAGGATGCTGCTGCTGGGTCACCTTATCAAAACGCCGCCAGACTTGTTTTTTCACAGACGTTTCTTTTTCCAGGTCCTTCACAACTCCTCATCATAAGAAACGATCCCAACAATCCCGTCGGAGGTCGTCGATGTCTGCTCCTGAAACGTGACTTTTTTTGACTAGCTTCCAATTACCGAGCAGAAGTCTGACATGCTTTCAGCCCCACGATGTGTTGGCATTCCTAATATGAAGCAAAAAGTACCACGAGGGCCACTCGGTTTACACACTTTATTGAGCAACATGTCCAATATACATTGCATTGACACAAAATGGAACAAAACACTAAAAAAGAAAGAAAAAAAAAGAAAGGAAAAAAAAAACGAACAGCAACCTACAAGAAACAAATAGCGGCGCCCTTGGTGGATTACCTGGACACATTACCATTTTCAGAGGGTATTGCTAAATGACGTTTCAAAACGCTCCGCATCTGTGCCAATACAGTGAACACCGGTCAGAGGAGGTCATGGTGGGTCTGAAAGGGTCTCAAGTGAAAATGCTAATGTCGACAGCAGTGATGCGACCATTATGTCTGCATAAATGTATGAACTATACATGTCACGAGCAGCCAGAGCGCACCGACAGAGGTTTCCTGTCTTAAACGTAACCTTAACTCCTTGACGTCTGGTCAGCTGTCTGACCTCACAACGGATGTTAATCATGGCTATCAGTCTGTTATCAACCAGAATACGCATTTTGAAGTTTGTTTTTTTCTAGGCTGTGCTCAGTGAAATATGGAGAATGCGTGTGAACTTCACTGGATTTTAATGTCTCCAATCGTGGAACCCAACAATGTTCCATGATGATAATAGAAACTTTGGACAGAAGAAAGGAAAAGAGATTTATTCAAGAATCTAAATCCAGATGTGAATGCGATTTAATCCAAGCACTAATAAAATAAAAAAATAAAAAATGTGTCGTGGAAAAACACAACCACTAATCCAACGGAACAATGGAGCCTCTAAAATCACGAGCCTT